GGGCCGCGCGCAGAGGTGACTGAGGCCGGCCTGCTGAAGCGGCTGGACGCGGATGGCCGCTGGCTGCGCTACGGCATGCGTGAGCGCCTGCGTGGGGCGCCGTGATCTGAAGCCTGGTTCGGTGCCGGCTTGCGGGGGCCCGCTGCTGGTCGGTGGCAGAGGCGTGCAACTTGAGGGCCGGGTGGGCCATGACAGCGCTGCAGCGACCCACCATCACGCGGCGGCTTGCAAACTACGGCTGGCCTGTGGGCCGCGCCTGCCCCCCCGTTAGGCTGCGCCGCGCGACGCCGCCGCCTGTTGCCCGCGGGCGTAAGGAGGGGTGCAACGATGATGTCATGGCGGTGGTTTTTGCAAGGCCTGTACGCACGAGCACACATGCTACTTAACAACTCCACCTGAAAAACACACCTACATGCACCCAAAACAACAAGCACACACAAACACATATACACACACACGCGCGCGCGCATACGCCCCCAGGGGAGTACCAGCTAATGTATGAGGGGGTGCTGCCCCCACGGCAGGACGACGGCGCGGCAGGCGGCGCCTACAACACGCCACCCAACCCGTTCGCCAGGTGAGCCAGGCACGACGCGATCCGCGGCAGCCGTCTCACCTGCCGGTGCCAAGTGGTGCGCGCGGCGCAGCAACATCGCGATGCGTCGGTTTTCTTTTCGGTTTTCTTTTCGGGTGACGGTCACACGGAGGGCTCACCCCTGGAACCTGGAGGCGGAAGACCGTGTCCATGATTCTCGAAGGCTTTGAATCCCTGTGACTGGCAGCCTGCTGAGGGCCTGCGCCGCCCTCTGTTGCCCCACACTCTGATACACAGGCCGCGCGTGGCGTATATCACGTCATTGGGTCAGCAGGCCGCGCGCGGGAACGCGGCAAGCGACGACGAAACCTCAGACGGCGCAACCTCGGACGACGAGGCGCCGCAGGACGAGGAGGAGGGGGGCGGCGCGTCCCAGGATGAGGGGGCCGAAGAGGGCGGGGCTGCGGCTGCCGCGGGGCCAGACGGCGCCGCGCCGCGCGGGACGGTGGAGCAGGTGGGCTGAGGGATGGCTTTTGGGGGCAAGGGGCCGCCACTTGTAGGGTGCTGGCGCACACTGTGGGAGGGGGACACGGTTTCGTGCTTTTGCAAGGCCTACAATACCTTCTCAGCTATTGAACCTGGTGCACTTTCAGGGCGTTCCACTGCTGCTATACATGCCATTTGTCAAAAGGCGGGTGGTCGCATGTATGAAGCGGAGGGTCGCCGTCTCACGGGCCTTTGATGCCCCGCTGCGGCATCGCGCCGCCCGCAGCTGTGGGCGCTCGCCGCGCGCCACCTGCAGTCGAGCGCTGGCGGACTCTCGCTGCACGCGCGCTGCGGCTGCGCGCGGCCCGGCTGCCTGGAGGGCGTGTGGGTGTTGGACGGCGCGTGCAGCGTAGACCTGGCGGTCAGGTGCTGCGCCATACGCGGCTGCACCAGCGGCCCCGCCGGCGGTGAGCGCCGCGCCGCCGCCGCAGTCGCCGCGGGCGTCGCCGCCGCGACTGGGGCTGGGGGCGCGCCGCTAGCGCCGCGAGCTCTCGTGGGGCCATTCGGGGGGGGGGGGGG